CACCACTTCATTGCCTCAAAAGCAAGGACAGTCTCTCTTGGACAGAGGCACAGAATGTGGTCACTGCACGGGATTTCAGATGGAAGGGCCTCATCTGCAACGCGTACCTCCCCTGGCATGGCCCTGGTCCTCCTGTCTATTCTGCCTCCCACTCACCCAAGGTCTAGCCACAGAAGGCTTTTAATTTGATCTTTCACCTTTTCTTTGGTCTGTCTTTCCTCTACCTAAACCGGAGCCTCTTTCTCCGCCCTTTGGACAAAGCAGATTACTCTGGCCATTTTCCAGTCCCATTTTCTGATCAACAGGCAAGAAATTTTTAATACAACAAAACATGAAGCAGCTCTAAGCACTGAGTCTGGGCAGGGGTGGGGAGAGCTGGAGCATCCGTCGCACACTGAGACTCATCCCCTGTAGGACCGTGTTGACATCGCCCCTTCAGGCTCAGTGTTGTCTGTATGGTACAGATGGAAAGCAGAAAAGAGGAGTTGTGATTGTGTCACCTATTTTTTCCAACTTTACGGAATATATTTAGTCACATTATTCAGCTTGAAAATTAATAATGGGCAGTGTTCACTTTATAGGGAGTGTATAGCTCAGAAGAAATTAGCTTAACTTACCGATGTTTTCTGTGGTGTTAAATTGCTTCGTATGTGGTACCATTGGTGGGAGGGAAATCATTATTTTTATAAAGATGTTCAATGAACCATTTTCCAGAGACAGTCTATTAATTTAAGTCTACTGCTCTTTACCTGGAGAGTCTGAAAATACGTTAACCAAATTTGTAACAGCTTTAGGTGGGAGGCAGGAAGGTCTGCTGAGAGCTCTCCAGCAGCCGTGGCCCTGGATTCTAATCGCAGGAATTGCAGCAGCTGCCTGGCTCATTGGCAGGTGGCGCAGTGGCTGTGTAGAGGAGGTCCACCTGGCCACATGCCACAAGTGGAAGAGTAACCGTGTCCAGGAAGGAGCCTTCATCCCACACCATCATTACCCCCAGAGACGGTGGGCCTCCATCACCACTGGTCTCACCACTGAGGTGGCAGGCAGCAGACGAGTGTGAGGGACCCACATTCTGGTAGCTACAGCTGCCTGAGCAAGCTACTCCTACAGGAGCCTTCGGACCCTTGTCTATGAAGGGGGAGATGGTGCTTCCTTCCCAGGGTGAGTGAAAGACTAGCAACAGCGCCCAACACCCCACAAATGCTGACTAGATAGAAAGGAAGTCAGTGCTCAGACTCCACAGAGGACAGCTTTCATGATCAGTAGAGGGTCAAAAACTCTTCAGGCACAGCTGACTCTTACGGAAGTCTTGTCCTTAGAGAAGGTGGCCGTACTCAGCTTTTGGCCTTGGTGACCTGAAAGCCCCAACAGAAACTCTCTCCCTGGGAGCTGCTTGCTCTAGGGACGACATGGCTCAGAAGAGTTTTCAGCCTCTGCACACAAAGCACGAGTCTCGGAAATGAGCAGCATACCTGTTCAGACATTTCACCGTTTCCAGTTCCAATCCCAGATGGAGGCCAGAGCGTCTCCATCTTCTGCAGTGCCCAGGCGGGCTCTTCAGCTGTTCATGCCTTAGCTTGATAAGTCGTTCGTCCTTTCTCATTCTTTCATTTGTCCCTTTATGTAGTCACCATTTCATTTAGTAGCTATTCTTAAGCCTCTGATGTGTGCCAGATGCCAGATTAGGCACTAGGGATGCGGTGAGAAAGTCCTGGTGTCCCAGCCACTGGTCTCTGCCCCTGGGCAGCCATCCCCCAGCATGTGCTCGAGGCCGCTTTCTCTGTTCTCTTCTGCTCCCCCTGCCTCTGCTCACTTCTCCGCAGCCATCCTTCCCTAGGCCCCATGAGCATCGCCTTCCTGAGGAAAGTACATGCTGTGGCAGTAAAGTCAACTTCACAGCTTGTTCAAAGCACAGCTTCGCTTATTCTGTCTCAGCAGGAGAGGGAGCAGGACACATTGGAAGGGAGAACATTTCGTCACTCTTGCTGTGGACAAAGTGTGGCCTGGTGGGTTCGGGCAGGGAAGTCCACCCAGTGGCTTTTGCCCCTGCCTTCTGGCTCACTAGGGTCGAGCCAGAGAGGAGTTGGGGGTGGAGCAGGTGTATACAGAACATTGCTTTGTAGATGATTACAGGTTTAAAGAAGAGAGTCACTGTCATTCAGAATCCACACTGTTACATAGGCAAATAGGGATGCTTTCTAGACTGCTACCTGCAGTTCACAGTGAGGCTGGCTCATTGTGAGGAGGCCGAAATCCCGTGGATCTACCCCTAACCAAGACAGGAGCCACAGATCCCAGTGGACGAGGCCGGAGGGGTAGCTGCAGTTGCAGTAAGGGAGAGTCATGTAGAATGCCTATTCTGTGACAGGCTCATTGAAAAATGCTGACTAGATAAGAAAGGAAGTCAGTGCTCAGAGCAGCCTTCAAAGATGTTGTCAGAGTCCTTGTTTTATATGTAAGGATATAAAAACTCAGAAACTCTCCCAATGCCACGTGTCATGTGCAACATGGCAGAGCCATACTTGGGCTGAATTCTGACTGATGCAAAGCCGTGCATGCCACATCATGTTGGTCTCTGTTCATGGAGAAGTTTCCTGCAGACTCCTGCCAGAGCCCCTGAGGACAAAGGAGGAGGATAAAGAGGCTCCCCAGGTGTGCGCAGAGTGGTTTTCTTGAGCAGACCAAGCCACACAGCTCCCCTTCCCTCACCGGTGCCCGCGCTTTGGCCAAGCTGCTGCCTAGGGTAACAGCAGCGGGTAAGGCGTGCAGTTTGGACAGAGGCCCCAGGAAACGTTGCCAGGGCTGGGCAGACCTGAAGTGACCATCCCAGCCATACCTTCAGAAGTTGGGAGATGTCACTCCAGCTCTCGTGGCCCTTCCTGTGCTTGAGATTGAGGGGCCTGGGGTGGGGTGGGCAGGTGCGGAGTTGCCCAGAGAGCTCTCCATTCCGTGTCCCCTCCGTCATGTCCTTAGCCACAGAGGACTCCCATGGGGACTGCACAGCACCGCAGAGGGCCCTTCCACATGCAGAGTTCTTCCATGTGGGGGGAAATCAGAGAACCCAGATTCCAAAGGAGTTTTCCCCCGTAACTTGACTTGAGAATTATTAGAAAAATAATTCTGGAAAGGGCTGCCACGTCAATGCCATTCACGCAGATTGCTTGCTACTTTACATATTTCCAGAAAAGTAAAAAAAAGGGAAAAAATCATCCATTTTAGCCAACTTTATTTTTAGAAAAGTATTTTATTCAAACATCCCCTTACTTATTACAGACATAAATACATGCATTCAGACAAATGAATCCACCGGAGGCCCATATAAAGTAATTGGCACATCGCTTCAGGATGCTTTGTCAGTTACTGGAGGAATTTGGTGCCTCCAACTTTAATCTTCTCCATTAAAATATCCATTCTGCCTTCAGATTGTGAAGCCCATAATATTTTAGACTGTCTCCACGGATCTGTTAGTTTTGCTTGTCAATTTAATTTGTGGTTCTGTGACTGGGTGGTTGTTAGCTGTGCATGGAAACATGGCATCTGCAAATCCTGATGGGCGTGCGGGCTCGGGCCCCAGCCTCTCTCCAGGAGACTGGACACACAGCAGACTGGAGTGGCAGCGGCACGTGCAGCCCGCCTAATGACAGTGGTGGTGTGTTGTGGCTGGCGCCGCCAAGGGCTTCAGAGACATTCCTGGGCTATGGACAGTGCTGCTCACTCCTCGTGTTACATCTTATCCCAACTGCCTCTTGATCCTCAGCCTCCTTGTGCTGGATCACTGCTTCCCTCTTCAGAGTTAATGATGCTGAGACACAAGATCACAGAGAAGATCGAATTGCAGAAAGTTCCAGAAGTCAGAAGCCAGTGTTTCAAAGGAAGCCAAGTCACCAAAGCCCATATGTGGTTGCCTTGCCACCTAATTGCCACTTTCCCTACCCCTTTGGGAAAAAGAGATCTAGAGCTGTGGGAGCAGAAGGGCCCAGGGGAGACGGAGCTGGAGAAGCAAGGACTGTGGTCAGCTCTACGTGATGCCCGGACTATCCCAGCAGCCTCCCCGGGCTCCTCTGCAGGGTCACCTCTCAGAGCATGTTTTGCACATCTGCAGGGGGACCTTTCTTACCCACAGATCTGGGTGAAGTTCAGCTCCTCTATGTGGTCTTCCAGCCTGACCCCGGGTCTCACTTCTGCTTGCCTCTCCTCCCGGCACACGAATCCCTCGCCATCACAGAAGCCATTGTGCTCAGTCCAGCGCTCCTGCTTTCTACTTCTCTCTCTGTGCTTAAACACATTGTTGATGACCTCCTTAAAGGCTGCCTCCACCCTGGAGGCCCCTGACTTCTCAAGGACAGAGGCAGCCTCCCTCCACGGGCCACAGCACTTTGCTCCGCCTGGTTCCTGTTGTCTATCTGGGCAGCCTTCCCCATGAGGGTCGCCCCTTGGGTGCAGGGGTTGTGGAGACACCATTCTTCTCTCCACCTCCCGCGTGTCTCTCAGACTTTGCATAGAAGAGAATGGATAAGTGTGTGTGTGTGTGTGTGTGTGTAGGAGAAAATGGAGAGTGGAGAACCCCGAAGGAAGAAGGGTTAAGAAGCGTTAGCAAGCTGAGCCAGCAGGAAACATGACATTCCAAGGTCAGATGGAATGTGTCCCGTTCTTCTGTCCCCGAGAGGAGCTATGGAAAAACATCACCCCTCCATAACATGACCTGTTAAGTGAAATGAGAGGTGAGCTAGGCCTGTGTATCAGGGTTGAGAAGCACAGACTAACCCTCTTGGCTCCGTGGCTTGATTTCTGCCCTCCCAGAAGGCCCTCAGTAAGCTTTTGGTGGTGGAGACTTGCTCACAGGCAGGGGTTTTGCCAAGAGTTCCTACAGGCAGCCTCCTAGGCACCTGGAGTCAAAGCTGTCTGGCCAGGAAGAGCCTCCTGGCTCTAGCAAGATGGAGTACATTAAAGGCCTGGGGTTCAGGGGGGCTCTGGGCCAATCTCTGTGGGACTCTGTCTTGTAGATGATGTCTGTCCTCATGAACACCATTGTCTTTGAAGACTGTCGGAATCAGTGGTCGGTATCCAGGCCTCTCCTGGGGCTTATCCTGCTCAATGAGAAGGTGAGTGTGGCTACAGGAGGTCCATGGGGGTTGGGGGTAGTCCCTGGGAGGAGAGGAAAGCCATCCTCCAGGCTTAGCTATGTCAGTAAGGGCAGGAGCAGAGCCATCTGAGTGTGCTAGGACCTTGACAGCTCATAGCAAGGCCTCTGCCCCCAGGAGGGCCTTCCCCAGAGGCCTTGGGTCTTCAGTTGAACAGAGGCACCCTGTGAGTGAGGTGGATGGTTTGCTCAGGAGTGCTTCGGGTCCCCTCCCCTTCCTCTCTCATCACAGGGGAAATCTGAGCATCAGCCCCTTTGCCTCCTGGGCCTGGGCCCTCTTTTATGCTTAGGATCCCAGTGCCCTGGGTGGTGGCAGCAGAGATGTGTTCATAGAGCCCACGCCCTTGGTAAGGGAACGCAGTCTGCAGCTCTGAAGCACACAGCCTCCCTGGGCCACCTCCTGCCACTCCAGCTTCCTCCTGAACCCGCCTGCTCCCCGCAGTCAGTGGGAACAGTACATTACTGCTTGGGAGAATGAATTGTCCATACAATAAGACAGTACTGGGGAAAGGAGCAGGAGATTAGAGGCAGCCGCATACATTAAAATTCAAACTAAAATCCCAGCCTTGGAAGGAAACTAATAGAAGAAGAAAATATATCAAAAAGAGCAGAGCTGTCCCATCATTCACCTGTGCTGAAGCAGCCAATTTTAGCCACATTCAATAGCACTGTCATTCATCTTCCCTCAGTGTTATTGTGATTTAAATCCAAGCTCTATAAAAGAGAGCAGTTCTTTTAAAATGATTGAGAGGGAATAAGGGCAAATTCAGTGTTTAGAAAAAGCTTATGACATCACAATATTATACTTTACTGATGGAGGCAATATTTCATGGTTTGGGATGAAAAACTAATAATTTTCTATTTGGTGTGAGTCACTGCATCATTATAAGAGGGAAAAATAAGTAGTTTTGTGCATTCCCGATCTTGTTCAGGAAGGCATTGTGGTTTGAGTGTGATGCCTCTGATATATAGTATTTAAGTATTAGTCTGACTACATATTAATTATGTGTGTTTCTGATGTGAGCTATTTTAATGTATGATGGAAATTAAATACCATGTTGCTTGGGCTTGGGAGGGTGAACACATGCCTGGCAAAACGTGGTCTTTGTGCTGAAATTACGTCCTTTGCAATGATCAGGAGCTATGCTCGGCCTTCGAGCTGTTTGTATAAAAGCCCACAGACCCGGGACAGAGAAGAAGGGGCTGGGTAGATATTTGTGAGAGGGTTAGACAGATTGTTTTCCTTAGTGCCAGTAGTCTCTCCTAGAGCTCAGCAAAGCCTCTAATCCCCTGCCTCAGCCCAGCACACCCATTCTAATGCACAAGCACAGAGACTTGGAACACAGCCCCAAGGCGTTGGAGCAGTGATTTTCTGTAGCCAGAGGACAATAAGGCCTAAGGGGAGACCCTTGGCCCTTCCTTCAGTCACCCATGTCACCCAAAGTGCTTGTGGCTAAGGTCTTCCTCTCAGCCTGGGCCCTTCCTCTCAGCCCGGGCCCTTCCTCTCAGCCCCTCTGTGATGCCTGGAGATGAGCTGGGGAAGACCTGGGTCAGTCTCCCCATAGCGGTCAAGGGCTCAGCCTGAGCAGTGACAATGGAAAAATTAGGCCAGCAGAGTTTGTTGTTGTTTTGTAGTGCTGGGAATTGACCCAGGACCTCCCAAGCCAGGCAGATACTCTGCCACTGAGCCGCATCCCCAGCCCCCCAGCAAGAGACAGAGATTTTTGTGAGCAGGGACAGTGCTGTCCCCATCTGGGAATGTGTCTGTGCCGAGGTTTGCTCTCAGGGTTAGATTTTAATACAGACCCAGACGAAAACTCTTGAGCTTAGCAGGCCGAAAGGATCCGAGTGGTCCTGGCCCTCCCACACAGCTCAGAGTGACAGCCCTGACGTGCTTCTGTCTTTAACAGCATTTCAGTGAACTTCGAGCAAGTCTGATAAACAGCCAGCCTCTCCCCAAGCAGGAAGTCCTTGCCCAGTGCTTCAGGAACTTGATGGAAGGAGTGGAGCAGAACCTGTCCATCAAGAACAGAGACAGGTGAGCACTGTCCAGTAGGGCATCTCAGAGAGGCCGATGACAGGCTTGTTGAGAATCATGACAATGTGCTTAACTTAACACACATGTTGACATGGGTTTTCTGTTACACCTGGTGACCCTGAGCCAGCTCAGTTCCCTTCAGAGCACGTGACTGCTGTTTGCTTTCTTCCAAACAAAGTGCCAGGAATCACACAAAGATGCAGAGATGAATGAAAACAGCCCTTGACTTTAGTTTCTAACCCAACAGGAGAGAGAAGAAAAATAACTATAATTGGAAAGTTGAACAGGAGAGCTCAAAGCCGCCAGGAGGATGAGGGGAGGCTTCCTAGGGCTGGAACAAGCACAGGCCCCGAGGCCAGACCGCAGACCCCAGTTAAATGTGATCCCTGCCCCTGTAGGCCGTGTGGCAAAGGCCAGTAAAATTGGGCCCATGACCATCGACTCTGGGGCTTAAGTGGCAGGATGTAGTAACAGTGGAACGTGGGCAGGTGACCTGCGGCAGTTGTAGGTTCCCTCTGCCTGTCCTTGCCAGTGAGATCTAAATAGGAGGAGCTGAACCCACCGCCGAGGCTGCACGTGCCCATTCGTTCATTCGTTTAGTTCACAAACCTTGACTGGGCTGCTGCGTGCAGACTGGGGCGTGCCCGTGGGCACCAGGTGGTCCTGGGGCTGGCCCTCTGGTGGAAGACATGGACAGCAGCCCTTGAGAGGGGAAGAGAGTGTGTTCAGGGGAAAGCTGCCTGCGCCACCTTCATGATTGTGGCCTTGGAGTGCCTGTCCTCAGTCATCCGCCAGCAGTGCACTGTGGCCACCAGCCTGGCCTCAGTAACACAGGGCCAGGTCAGGTGGGACGTGTGACCGGTCCCCTGACCTTGCGCTGCACCGAGAGAGCTGATGAAAGGAGGAGAGCCTGAGTGCCTCTGGGGAGGCTCCTTCGCCTGGACTGAGCTGCTCTGGAGTGGCATTGGGCAGCCCTTGGGTTCAGGAGAACAGGCCTTTGCAGGGAGTTTTCCTCAGACCTGCCGCTGTGTTGGGGTCTTGGGGACATTGCCTCAGCCAGCTCGATCAATCCTCAGCTCCACAGTCCCTCCAAGTAGCTCTCATACTGGGCACCAAGAGGAGACATCAGGCATTCACCCAGGGTCCCCCACCTCGCAGGAGGGGGAGCCTGGGTTTGAACTCAGGCAGTCAACCCAGGGCCCCCTCTTTTTCAACCACCGCTTTCAGTTTCCCTTCTGTAAACTGGGGGTACTCACCTACCTGTGGAGAGACTTGTGATTACATGCGTTCCTGTGTAAGCTCCATCCAGCTCCTGGCACCTAAACTTTCGTCCCTTTCTTTATATTCTCTGCCGCGCTATGGAGTTGGGTTTTTAACAAATGTTTTGAATAGTAGGACCACAGGCATGCACGCCGCCCAGCAGTCAGTGGGTCTGGCGGCAGCCCTTGTTTTCCAGCAGGATCAAGTGGTGGGTGCTGCTGGTGGAGCAGCGATGGCAGGGGGTGGCTGGGCAGAGCCCAGCAGCACAGGGAGCCTCCTTCTGACTGCTGCTTCTCTCTGCAGGTTCACCCAGAACCTCTCTGTCTTCAGAAGAGATGTGGCAGAGGCCCTGCGCTGCGATGGCCACACAGAACCGTGCAGCCTGGACATGATGAGCTGACCCGAGTCCTGCCGGGTGCCGAGCAGTCTACCAGGACAGCAGCGCTGGCTGGCCCAGGGGGATCTGGTTTTCAAAACAAATGACAGACTCCCTCCCTTTTTATAAGTCTCGCCTAATTACACAAATTTATAACAGTACACACGCAGTGTAAATTCGGTCTTTGCTCTGACAAAGCAAAACATGTTCAGTCTTTCTGCCGAGAGCGTTCTCCGCCCTCACAGTGCTCTGAAAGGGCATAGAGCGATATTTAACCAAAGAGCCTAATAACCCAGGTTTGCCTAGCCTTGCACTCGGCGATGGTTCTACAGTCAAGGCCGTCAGCGTGTTGGTGATGCAGACTTCAGTGCGGATCCTGCATTGAGACAAATGCCACTTAAACCTGTGAAATTAGTAGTTTGCTTTGTGTCTACAAGAAGCCGCTTTGGGGACTCTGGGCTGTTTAGAAGGAGCCTCCCCCAGGAGCTGCAGGCTCTGCCCCCGCAGCCTCCAATAGAGCTGAGAGACACTAACACAATTAAACGACTCACAAACAATGCCTGCCATCACTGGCACGCATCTGAGTGGTTGAGTCTAGAGTTAAGCTGTGCGGCTGCAGGGGGGTCTTCAGGAGGAGTCTGGTAGGCCCTGGAAGAAGTTCCGGTCCAGCAGCACCTGGCCTTCTGGCTCCCTTTAGTTTTTAAGAGAAGCTCAAGGAACTCAAATATAATATTTGGAGCAGCTCTACTTTCTTGGGCCGCCCAAAACAGTTCTAGGTGCTACAGTTGAGGTTTTGCGGAGCACACCTGTTCCCATCCCTTCACACAGACCCGCACTGCTGGGGGACTGCGACTCAGTCCAGCCCAGAGGTGCAGAGGGCCTGCTCAGCCTGCCACTGCGCAACCAGGCTATTAATTTGAGCTCACCACTGTCAGATGGTGTTTGTGTCTCACTGCTCTGTCCATGGTTCAGGCGTATAATAAATACGGTGCCCTTTGTTTCTGATAAGACATGAAAGGTCGGCCTTACTGTTGAGCAAGCAGTCATCCACAGGCTCCTGTTGTAATCTCATTTCTCAGACTAGTGTGTCTCAACCCTTCTTGGTAGTTGAGCTTTGCAACAGGCCTGTCATATGAAAGCGCAGTCGTCCACGTTTAGCTCAAAGTGTTCATCTTCCCTGTGGAGGAAGTCGGAAAACTGTTACTGGTGGGATTCCTTCCAGTGTTTGATGGATAAAGAAGCTGGGGCCTTACTCTGTTTTCCTTGAGAAGTCGAATTCTGGACTCTATAAACCTCAGCGGTCAAGAGAAGTTGACAAGGATTCCTGTTTCTTGGAGGCTTGTAACTGCACTAGTCCCACAAAGATGCATCCTAGAAGCCTCATCCCATTCAGCACTGTTTTCTTTACAAATGTCTGGGATCCAAAAGCACTATATTGTTTGCATTAAAATGTTCACAAGAAAATGATAATGTGCACTCGCTTCTCTTTACCACACTGCTGGGTTCCGGGGGTTCCGTGGCAGGTGAGGAGGGCTGTCTACTTGGCCTTGGGGGGGGGGGGGGGCGCTCCCACCACTGACATCAGCAGGGCCTGGTCGTGGTTCTGGGCTTGGAGCAGTGGCTTGTGAAGCACACATGGGCAGCGTGCACAGCAAGGGGACACACTTGGGGAGCCCTTGATGCGTCTCCCTTAGTCCTTGTCACAGCCTATAAAGGTGGCAGCTTTGGCCCCACTGTGCAGACATGGAAACTGAGGCTCAGAGATCATTTGTGGGTTACAGAAGTCACACAGGCAGAACCTGAACCCAGATCTGCCTCACCCCAAAGGAATCCCTGGCCTCTTCCAACGGTGAACGAACCCACTTAATATTTAGGCCCATTTCCATTTGCTTTTCAAAATTTCTGTTGTTAAATAACAAATTACTCAATAACTTAGTGTTTTAAAATAATTTTTATTGCCTCACAGTTCCTGCAAGTCAGGAATCAGTGGCTGGTTCCCTGGCTCCTGTTCTCTTGGTTATCAGCCATGCCTCCCGCTCTCCGGCCTGCTAGCAGGAGCCAGATCCTCCAGGGATGCTCCCAGCCTGCCATCTCCCTTCACTGGAGGCCTTTTATCACCTGGTCACTGGGTTCAGCTAGGCCCAGGGGAGGGCTCACAAAGGCAGGCCGGGGTCCCAGAAAACCTGTTCAGAGCCATCTGCCGTGGCTCCCACCAGGCCCTGGCTACACAGGTGGAGTTTCAACCACAGGTTTCTCCCTTCAAACTGGGAAGGGAGGTTGATTTTCCACGGAGGGCTAAATTCCATTCTGATCCTAATGGAGGAAAAGGAAGTGGGGCAGTAGTGGGTGGACACAGCCCCCGGGAAGCTGGTCTGGGTCTGTGCCCCCCCAAGCCTGGAGAGTCTGCCTTGGTTGGGGACAGAAGGGACTCCCTAACCCTAACCCTACAGACCCATGTGGGAGCGACCTTGTCTGATCAGCACCAAGGTGACTGACGTCTTGTACTCAGCCCCAGGGAGAACTGCTCACAACCCCACCAGCCTACCACAGAGCCCACATGCCCATAGTGACGCGGCCACCTCTGAAAGGGTGCTAGGGTAAAGCAGATGTGCTGTTGGGACAGCATGGGCTTCAGGTCAGGCCTGTGCTCCAGAAACCACGTGAAGGACTCTCAGCCTGGCCCATTGCCTCCTCCCACGCTGACTTCAGCACCTGGCAATGCTCTCTGTGTTGCCGTGCAGGGCCATCCAGACCTTCTAAGACGAGACAGGAACATAGGTCCCTGCACTGCATAATGACCCGAGTGGCCCAAAGAGTCCTCTTGGCCCCCTGGACCCCCTTCCCCTGGCCCTGACTGCTTAGGTACACCATGAAGCTAGGGTGGTGGGGCCCCTAGCCACATGTTTCTATCTCATTTAATGCTTCCCAATAAGAATGTCAAGGATTATCATCCCCATCTTAGAGGGGGATGACTAAAAGACCGACTGAAGATCACAATGATTAGAAAAAATGGACAAGGCAGGATTCAAAGTCAGGACCTCAGTAGGATGCCGAGGCGCATGCCTGTGATCCCAGCAGCTCAAAAGACTGAGCCGGGGGCTGGGGATGTGGCTCAAGCGGTAGCACGTCCGCCTGGCATGCGTGCGGCCCAGGTTCGATCCTCAGCACCACATACAAACAAAGATGTTGTGTCCGCCGAAAAAAACTAAAATAAATAAAGAGAGAGTTTAAAAAAAAAAAAAAAAGACTGAGCCGGGAGGATTGCGAGTTCAAAGCCAGCCTCAGCAAAAGCAAGGTGCTAAGCAACTCAGAGAGACAAAATAGAGCTGGGGATGTGGCTCAGTGGTTGGATGCCCCTGAGTTCAATCCCTGATACCCGAAACAAAACAAATTCATGTTTCTTTTCTACTCTAATCCCTTGAGCCAGGTCCTTCAAATCTGGGAGAGTTTGTCAGAGTGGGAGAGTTGGGTGTCGACATGTAACTGCTGGGACCTGGCTCCTGATGAGACGAGCACTCTGAGAGAGAGGCCTGTCCAGTGCCTGGGCCCTTTGTGTTGTGTCTGTGGGTTCTGCCACCGATTCATCCTCCTCCCTGAACTTTATAAAATCATTCCTGAGACTTCTTAATGTTTTATTGAGGTGCAAGTTTACGATGACAGCAAACCTTTCCAACTACAGCAAGAGTAACCTGCCTCCTTGGCATATTAAAAAATAATGTTAGTGTCGGTTTTTACGTCCTGTAGTTTGGATTGCTGATAAGAGCGCTTCCTTGACAAGATTCTTTTTGAGGTTTACAGAAAGCGTAATAAAATATGTAAGTTACATTTCCACAAACAAAAGCTATAACATAAGTTATTTATAAGCGTGAGATACAAACAGTATCACAATAAATAAACCATAAAGGGTACCTGCAACATCCATCTTAATGTAATTTGCCCAACAAAAGTGTTGAAACGAAGTCAAATTTAGTAGAGAAATCTGTCAGGAAGGAAGGAGAGTCGTATAGCACAAAATGGGGAAAATGGCTGATGGGTGGGGGAAGGAACCGTGGGCGATCAAGTCAAGTTGGAGGTCCCCGGAAGGCCACACAAGTGCTTGTCCACTGTCCACGGGGACTGCCTAGTCCTCAGCACACTGCACCAACTGCGGCTGCTCGAATGTCCTCTGCACCCCCAGCAGCCCCACGTGTGTGGGGGGGTCCCTCCTCCCTCCCCCTCCTGCCCTGCACCTTGGTCTGACCCAGCCTTCTGACCAGTGGGCCAGTCATGCCACTGCCAGCCTCCCTGCCAGGCATGACCCCCTCAAGGCCAGCCCAGGGACCTGGAAGTCATTCAGGACCTGGACTCATTCAGTCACCCAGACAGATAAATCAGAGAAGGAGACCCAGCCTCTGCCCTCAGCTAGTGAGCAGGACACCCAGCAAGCTCAGTGCTGGTAGCAGCCAGGGCCATGGTGGAGATGGACTTGGGGTGCTTGGCTTTGGAGGACCGGCAGAGAGGTGGTGTCTGGCTGGGGTCTTGCAGGAGGGTACAAAGGCACCAGCCATGAGAAAAGCCAAAATGAGCACACACCAATTCCTCCACCCAAACCTGACCCTTTCTCCTTCCACCTCTTCCACCCTAGCCACGAGCTGTCCAGTTTAACACCAAACTCTTGATGGACCTGGCCCCAGGACATGGAGTCCAATGCCACCAACACCCTTCTGCCCTAAGGAACCCCCAAGCCAGCAGGGAGATGACAGACTTCCAGGTGGCCAGCCCTCACCCCCACTCCTGGGCTCCTTTACCCACGTCCCCACTTGGCCCCATGACTTAGAAACTTCACTACCTACTCCAGAGTAGAAATGAGGCAAAGGGAAGTGAGCCATGAAGTCCAGACAATCCAAGGTTCAGATCCCAGCTCCAACACTTCACTCCCCTAAGACAATCGTCCTTGAAGCCTGTGACCTGCACTGGGAGTCCAAGCAGCACCCAGCACCTGATGGCTTGTTCTTCCCTCCCGCTTAGAGCGTTGTGCACTTGAGAACTCCTCAGAAACTTTGTCCCCCAAGTCCTCCTGCTGGGACAGACTGTGATGAGAGGCAAAGCTGCACTGCTCCCACCATCAGCAGGGGAGTCCCCAGGTTGGGACATGGTCCAGGACATTCCAGCAGGTACTCCACAAATAAATATTTGGAGAGTGACTAAATGAGTGAATGAGTGGGTGAATAGATTGGGGCAGGTGTCCTCAGAGCCTCCATGAGGACAGCTGGAGGCCCACAGGCCTCCCACCTAGGCTACGCAGACATGGCGGGTATGCCAGTGTCTTCTCATCAATCTTTCAAACAGGGTAGACGACCCAAATGCACTTAGCCCTAATTCAATCTCTACCCCATTTTACAGACAAGGCAATTGAATCCCAGTTCACACATGAGTCAGTGCCGGAGTTAACCTGGAGAAACCCGGGGCTCCTACATCCTGGCTCACAGACCCGTGGGAAATTCCAGCAACCTGCCTCTAATCCCAGAAGCCCTGCCCTCTCCTTCAGGACTCCCTGAAGGGACTAGCCGCAGACCAGACATGCTGTGGCCTAGGAGCCTCTGCATCCCTAGCAGTCCTTGCCCCTATTTCCTTAATTCTTGGAATTTGCATTTCCAATCTCTCCTTCAGTGTATGTCCTTCTCATTGTTCAACTGATAGCAGGGACAAAGGGCTGCAAAAATTACAGTATCGGAGACACCAAATACATATGAAAACCTTTTTTTTTTTTCTGGTACTGGGAATTAAATCCAGCTGCACTCTACCACTGAGCTACATTCTCAGCCTGTCCCCTCAGCCACCCACCCCTGGCCTTTTTTTCTTTTGAGACAGGGTCTCACTAAGTTGCTTAGGGTCTCACTAAATTGCTAAAGCTGGCTTTGAACTCCTCCTGCCTATGTCTCCCCAGTCTCTGGGATTACAGTACGCGCCACCACGCCTAGTGCATCATATCGAAACATATTTGGTCAAGCCACTGCTCACAGGAAAATGCATAGATTTTGATGAATTTATTTTAAAAAAGAAAAATGGCAACATAAATTAAATTCCCACTTCAAAGTAATAAATTAATTTGAAAAAAAAACACTCATGAGAGATGACACAAAATAGAGGATAATGAAATCAAGGGCATTTTTTTTTTAAGACCAATAAAATAGACAAAGCTTTGGCAAGGTGATCAAGGGGAGGCTCAATGAGCAACTCAGGATGAAAAGTGGAGGGTGTCAGTACAGATTCACATGAGAGTTTCAAGTTACACGAGACTTCCATCTGTCAGAAGAATAAATTTGAAAACTTGGATGAGATGGACAATATTCTGGGCACTGGTTTCCAAACTTGAGCAGACATCAGAATCACCTGGAGGGCTTGTTAACCACAGATTGCAGAGGCCTGCCCCAGAGTTTCTGGTGTCTAACAAACTCCCCAGTGATGCAGAACTCACTTCGAGA